GTATACAGTTTAAGTTTATACGCTTGGGATGAGGAGGCATTCAGTTGTCTCAAAGTATATCCTAAGTTTTGATGGAGGCTGCTTGAGTTGCCTTGAGAAATATCCATCAGATTGTGCACAAATATCCGATCAGATATCGGCCAGATTCAGTTTAAGTTACTGGAACAGATTTCCAGTCCAAATATATACCAAAGATCATGATATTATATTATTCTTGTTGTTTACTTTAGTATGGGTGTTTTTTCGGGGTACAAGAGGATCAGTACTCACCCCCATTGTGTTTTTCAGGTAACAGTGTCAGGACGGAGGTGTGAGCTGAGCAGTGGTGGTGGTGGTCGTGCACTTATTTCAAGTGGACATTTATTAAGTATTTGATCTGTCTGTATAATAAACCACGTTTTTAAGTATTTCCGCTATGCACATTAAGTATTGAACTTGCATTTAAGATTTCAAGTTTTTACCATTTCGAGAAGTATGAATATGGTATAGTTAAATGCAAGTTTAAAGGAAATCTGTTTTCTTTATGTCTAAAGAAGTATTAAACAAAAGTTTAAAGATTAATAGATTTTCAAGAAGATGAGTTTGAGTAGCATCCCGAGTTAGTCACAAAAGATTTTGAAAGATTTATAAGTATTTTCGAAGTAAAAGTTGCGAAAAATTTACTCTGATGAGCGGGGTGTTACAAGAGCTGTAAAACCTGAAGGCAGAATCACAAAAAAATCAACCACTGATCCACCAACTGGCATTATCAAACCAAAGAGAACAAGAGAAGAACAAGAAAATGCCCAAACACCTGAGAACATCTCTCCACAAGCATCTGACAAAGGTAAAAAGCCTAAACTCGAATTGAAAGGGGTAGTGAGGGCCAATCCTAATAGGCCCTCAGAAACCCAATGAATGCCCTGGTGTGGAACTGTAGAGGTCTGGGTGGGCCCTCTGCAGTTCCCCAGCTAAAAAAGGCCATTAGATTCCATCACCCACACTTTACTTTCCTTTCAGAAGTCAAAAAATGTAAAAAATTCACACTTATAGTTTGTAAGATGATTGGATTTGGCTCTAGATGTTTAATTGTGGAGCCAAGAGGATGTAGTGGGGGTCTTTTACTATTATGGAATTATAATGTTCAGATTATTCATATGTACAGTTCTCATTTCTTTATTGCTGTAAATTACATTTCTGTCTCTGGTAGTCCTGCTGTTTGGTCTATCTTTGTTTATCTCATCTCAATTAAGTCAGAAAGAGAAACCCAATGGGCATGCCTGCTCACTGAAAAAGAGAAATGGGGTGATAAGTGGTGCATATCAGGGGATTGGAATGACATTCTTCACTGCTCAGATAAGAAAGGAGGCAGAACAAGATCAGAGAATAGCTTTGCAGAATTCAGAGCCTATGCAGCTGAGATGGGAATGCAAGAAATTCCAAACAAAGGCTATCACTACACATGGAGGAATAACAGAGATAGAGAGGGCTTTGTGGAAGAGAGACTAGACAGGACTTTTGCCTCTTTGGGATGGCTGGCCTCTTATCCAAATGCTTACACTACCAGTCAATTTAGGAGTGCATCAGATCATCACAAGATTGTACTTAGCTCTGGCCAACAATTACAAAGACAGGGGAGGAGATTCCAATTTGATAAGAGGTGGCTCAGGCAGGAAGACTACATGAAGTGATACAATACATGTCGTCATTGAATCTAACAGAAGGTCATGTATATTTGAGCTCCGACAGTACGTGTAAATACGATTTGAATTCTGACTTCTTGTCAGAAATCCACACTCCTTAGTTCTTAAATTCTCTCAAATGTTCTGGTACACCAAATCATGAGTTGCATTTGAAGGTGGGAACTCCGGTTATGTTGTTGCGGAACATGGATCATTCTATGGGATTGTGCAACGGGACACGTTTGGTTGTAACAAGACTCTCCAATCATGTCCTAGAATGTAGGATACTTACAGGCGACCATGCAGGAGATAAAGTGTTGATACATCAAATGACGATAACTCCTTCGGATGCAAGAGTACCTTTTAAGTTTTAACGAAGGCAGATTCCTATTGTGGTCTCTTATGCAATGACTGTTAACAAGAGCCAGGGTCAATCCTTATCCCACGTTGGTTTATTCTTGAAGAAACCAGTTTTCAGTCATGACCAGTTATATGTTGTTGTTTCGCGCGTCACCAACAGAAAGGGTTTGAAAATTCTAATATGTGGTGAACATGATTTGCCCCAAATCAAACAAATAATAATGTGTACAGAGAAGTTTATAATAATATATGATTTCTTTTTTTTTTTTATTTCTGTTTTCATAATTAGATGTTAAATATAAATAATTACATTTACAATAAGTATTTCAATATGTTTTAAGTTATGCGTCCACCGTGCATCGCACGGGTACACTCTAGTATGTTACAAAAACACGTGCAAAATTGATTTTAAACAATTTGAGATTGAATATGTTACATCAATCAAAGTCCTATCCAAATTTTGTTCAATCATTTGATTTTGATTTCAAATCAATTTAGAAATCATGCAATCTTTTCAAAAATTGAGTTGTATTTTTTTTAATATTTCTTAAGTAAATTCTTGTCAGTTTTTTTTATAAAATTGATCTTTTTTCTGTAATTGAGATTTTTTTTTTCCTATTTCTTAGTTAAATCAGGTTCAGTCTTTTCAAAAATGATCTTTCCTTAATATTGTAGATTTCTTTTTCTATTTCTTAACTAAATTTATCGATATTTTGGTTGATTGAATTCAAATAAATTGAAATAAATTGATAATTCAAATAAATTGATAATTCATAAAAATTGGTTCCATTTTTTTTTTTTTAAAGTGTGTAGGTAACAACAGATTTTCCAATATTTTGTAAATTAACTTCAAGTTAGTAAATCAGTAATTTTGTTAAAAATTCGGTGCATCTATATAAAAAACCGATATTTTGTTAACAAACATAAAAAATATTTGCCGAGATTTTAGTCAGGCATCAGTTCATATGTTGTTCAATTAATTCATTTATTACGTTACAATAAAAAATGATTTACTTTAATAAATTTGTACAAAATGAATGTTAAAATATATGTGTTAATTAGTTTCTGTAACAGGTAAACATAATCATCATAGATCTCCAGTGCATAAGGTCACTAAGAGCATCTCCAATGGCACTATGTCTATTTTGATATGTTTGTTGTGCAGAAAAGAATAAAAATATTTTGTCTCCAATGGTGATTGTCAATTGTAGAATAAATTGGCATGTGTAAGATAATAATTAGTTGGTGAAGAGAGAAATATAAAATAAATAATATAATATTGAATAGAAGATGTCTAGAAGTTTTTCTGCATCTAGAAAGACTTCTAGAAATTTTACATGCCACATTAGATTTTTGAGGCCACGTGGCAATGCCATAGAACAATGCACAAACCATTGGAGATTCTCTAATAATGCACCATAAAATACTATTTTTGATCTGACAAGTGAATGGCATTGAAACGGATATTGTAACTCTTTCAAGCACCACGACAAGTGTCTTTAACAATTTCACTAATTATGTAGACATAAAACCAAGTACACAGAAACGGAAACGTAGTCGTTCTAGGAAAACACCTTAACAACATCAGGAATATCTGGTGAGTTTAATTCATTGTCTAAATAACTCATACTCTTATAAATTAATTAGTTATACATGTGTTTTATACTATTTCCATATTCAACATTTTTTACATTGCCAGTATTTAATAGATTTCTAAAAATTGTCTGTTTACAGGTTCAAAAATAAAGAATGTGTCTGGACGTTCTTTAGACACACAATCATCATACAATATGGAGACTAAGTTACGTGATTCTCTGCTTGCTTACATAACAAATGGTAAGTATTTTCTTTTGTCTACAATTAATTATGACTTTTGAATAAACTTATAAATTTCATATTATTTTATTAAAACAATATATAACAATATGAAAAAGTTTCAGTTACATGGATCCATTTAAATGGTTTTGCAGGACAAAATTGGGTTTAGGTACACGTCAAATGCTTCAATTGGTACGCTCATAGATGTCAAATTTATGTCTTATCTATATCAAAATTTATATTGTTATACATTATAAAATGCGTATAATATAAAATAATTATATATTTATGATTTTTATTTGTAGCAACAAGACAACGCAAACGTCATAGAGTACCTACTGAGAAGCTCAGTAGTAATGCGACTAATAGGCCTATTATCGACCTCACAAGTGATGACCAACATATTACTAGTGAGAACTCTTCAAACTACAATTGCAAGCTCTATCATTGATATTATTTATTGATAATGATTTAAAATGTTAAAATTTCATGTTTCTTAATTCTAGACGGGAACTCTAAAATAAAAGTCATTTTATAACAGGAAAAACAAACAAATAAATTATATATTAAATTATTACATATCATAAATATCAAATAAAAAATAAAAATAAATATCAATATTCAAAACTCTCTTTATACTAATTGATATTCCTACATTGCTACATTGCTTTAATTTACATGATTTATCATTATTATACCGTGAATCCCACGGCTACATACTAATTTTGATAATGGGATACATGTCAACATTAAAATTTAAAATGTCTCCTAAACCATTCGAGCGAGGAAAAAGAAGATGGAAAAGGGATTATTCAACTCTTATAGATCCACACCTCATCTCCGGTAAATATAGCCGACAAAGTACAACGAAACTACAAACGAAAACAAACAGAACAAAGCAAGGAATTCCCCAGCAAGGTCAAGGAGATCACACACCAGAAACAAAAAGAAGTTTCTAAAATGGTACACACAAGACCACTACCCAAATCATCTTTCCTGACAATCAACATTAGTACGCTGCGAAATTAGTACCCAAATCAAGAATTCACCAAACCTTAGATAACAAAGAACAAATACGCGGCAAAGTCCTAGATAACCAAGAACAAATACCCATAAAAATTCAGCAGAGGCAGCAGGACACAAAAAGGACATTTTTACCCTTCAAGAGTACACAACTCCCATCTTCTTGGCAAAATCATCATCGTCCTCCTCATCCGCATAGTCCCTGTTATCTCCTTCATAGATGTCATAATCCTCACCCCCCACCTGCTCGTAATCCCCCTCCCCCTCCCTCGGCTCATACCCATCTACTTCAAGTTGCTGATCAAGCGCGCCATCTTCGGCTTCTCCCTTGTGAGCTGACGTGGTGGATTCATAAATCTCAATACTGGCAGTCACATCCTTTATCTCTTGTTGAATTCTGCCCTTCTCAAGACCCTGGCCATTGGGCGCATCCTGACTCGTCCCACCCCTCTTGCGCTTGAGAATCTCCTCCAGAGGCTTGGGCCCTTCGAATGACAGGTCGTTTTCACTTTTCTGGTGCGTGTGTTTTCTCTTGCCGAGTGACTGTTGATCGGTTATGCTCTTCCTACCGATTTCAACATTCTTCCTCTTCCTCAATTCCGAAAGACTTTTCGGGCCAGCAAAATAGATGCTATCTTCAGCCACAGCGTATGACCCATTGTTAAAACCTTCGTCTGCCCTTCCACGGATCAACAGCCTACCACGGTGCCTGTTGATTGGAGATGGTGACCTCTTCGGAAGACCAATTCTCCCTCTAAGGCGGCTGCTGATCGCGTTTTCATTGCTGATGGCAGACTTAAACCCATTGGGTTTCTTGTGCTTGGCCAGACGGTGCCTTAGGTCCAGCTCATCAACTCGGTCAGTAGTCCCGTATTCGACGTGATGCCCTCCCGACAACCGCTCATCTAGATGCATTTCTTCATCGGCAATGGTATCATACTCGTTTGGGGCATCATGGTCTCTGGACAGCCCAAATCCATCATCACCCGGGTAGTAGTCGGAGCTTCTCAAATCGTCATCCACGAGGACGTCAAAACCGGGAGAGGGTTCCCTTGAAATCTCATCCTTGTCCTTACTGTTTGTGTTGCTGTACCGGTGCAGATCGGTCGCACCAGATGTTTGTGCGGCTGCTCTCATGCTAATGGCAGATTCATTTCTATGGAGAGACGAGTTTGCCACTGCAGGATCGTTGACAGATTTGGCGACATTTGCGGGTGGCTCAGTTAAGGGCTTCCCAGGTGGTCCGCTTAAAATATTCTTGTCAGCAGGAGGAGCTGTAACTGGGACCATTGAGGGTTTGTTACTTGAAGAATTTGGCGTGTGCAGAAATGGACACCAGTCACCTTTTAGACAGTATCCTTTTTGGAAAAATATGCAAGGCACGCCTGGTTTGGCGGAGGCATTTGAGACGTGTGGGGCAGAGGCCACTACAGTTTGGGATATGGGTGCAGAGGACGCATTGGACGTTGGCGCTTGTGTTCCCAGCAGCTCATCGAGTGGCTGAAGAATTAGGCAATAATAATAACAGAGATTATATGAGCAAATGGCAAGCAAAATATAAAAGATACTGTCCAATAAGAATGCAAACTGTCACTAGAGAAATAAGTGCAAGTCAAAGAAAGTAAAAAAACTAACCGGATGTCGAAAACCACATTTTGGGTTTAAACAGTTACCATGCACCCAGAAATAACAGTCCCTCGGATTTACCCGTGCGATGTCACTATGGCGATACTCACACTCATTTCCCTGTTAACAAAAACCCCAAAAACTGAAATATCACAGAGAAATAAGATGTCAACAATCGGCAAGATATGGTGCCAAGCAATGTTCTTGGAAATGTAATGTGTTTCCACGAACCACATTTAAAACATCGCTATTCAACTTAAAATAGGATTCCGTAGAAGCATTCAACTAAAGTTGGATTCCACATTAAATATGCTATAACTACGATTATTCATTGAATAAAACAAATTTCTCACTTCAAAATGATAACCAATTCAAATAGAAAATCTTATGAACAAATTGAGCATAAAAAAATTGGAAGACAATCAGGATAAAGTTGTGCCTGAAATCATATGTTAACAAGACATCTCCCCAACAATGACATTAAGACAAGGAGAAAATCACAAGCAGCTAAAGCAAGAAAAGCTCCAACATGTTATACAAGCTTACACAATCATGTAAAGAAACTGAGATTAAGAGTGATATCACATCTAGCACAATTTACAAGGCATAACGTCATATCGCAAATATTCATCAATAAATTAGCATCTTCAGAGTCAACTAAATTGATCATTTATTTTCACTATTCAGCCATACAATATAGCCTTCATAAAAGGCCTTTACTGGATTGCCACTATCTTTCCCTTTCACTGTCTGCACAGTTAATTCAGGTAAGCAAGTTGCAACATAAATCCCGATATACTTCATTCATAATATTAGAGTCCATGGGCTTTTCCAGGGGAAATCTAAATCTCGCAATAGCCAAACACAGAATCTTGAAATACAGTAGGATCAGGATTTAAGCACCAATTAATTGCCAGGAATATCAAATATGCATGCTTATCAAGAAAAGAAAGCAATAGTGTACACCAAAAGCCTTCAAAGAAAGGGGAAAAAAAAAACTCTGCCTAATAAGATCTGTGCTGCAGATAATCACAACAAACACACAATTCATAAGTTAAATAGTCAAAACATAACTCAAAAAGACTAACAGACCCACAAACACAAAAACATATGTCCACTTCCAAAGAGCGATAAAATGGGGAAATAGAAGATGGGAAGACTAAGGGACCTTTTTGCAGGTTAAAGGAGAAGCTAGAAAATAAATGCAATCGGTATTTCTCTTAACCACTTCTTCTTCGGCAGAAAGAGGCTGAGACTGAGATTCAGATTGAGGTGTAGAGACCACCATTTTTCCAATCCTCGAGCCGCTTAGGGAAAAAAAAATGGTATAGAAAATTGGAATCTAGGGTTTTGCTGCTCTTCAGATAGACATGCTTGAGACTCCTGACACTGTTTGTCCCCCGTATTTCCGCTTGAAATAGAATACCCAAACAATATTTTGGCTGATGAGCGCTCGGAGAAAAAGATGATGACAAGAGCGAATGTGTGTAGTATATATTTCATCAGATGCGCTTTTATTTTATTTTATTTTATTTTTCCAAAACGAAAAATATTATAAACAGAGAAGGAAAACCAGAGTACATAGGTACATAGTCCACATCTGACTAACAGTAGCACAAACATGAATACACTGCAACATGCAGAACAAAAATCACAAAGAAGCTGGAGACCAAGCAGAGCTGGACTAGAAGAGACTGGAGGGACTAATAGACGGTCTATAGGGCAGTATAGAATATTGAGGCCCATAGACTTAGCTATAGTCTAAACAATGATAATCTAGCAACTGACAGATACCTTGCTAGCAAAGCAAAAGCTCAACAAACACAAAGAAACAACTAAACAGAGGAAAATTCGATCTATTCAGAACAGGCTCCATCAACTAGTGCCTTCTCTGAAATCCACTGTTTCTTGAACACCCAGTGGTTCCTTGCTTTCCATAACCACCATAGTATGTATGTGGTTAATTGGATTCGTTCTTCAGCAGCCTTGTTTTTATGGATGAGACAAACTTCCTTCCACCAATCTTTGAAACTGATTACCTCCTTTTCTAATCCCACCCAAGTCACTGGAGCAATCCTCCAGATTTTTTTTTTGCCCTTGAGCAATTGAATAAGATATGCTCTGTAGCCTCTACAGATTCCCCACAGATTTGACAGATGACATCCATATTGAACCCCCTTTTGCAGAGGTTGGTCTGTGATGAAAGGATCCCAGAGAAGCATTTCCAGATGAAATGTTTAATCTTTTTCTTGACTTTGAGCTTCCAGCTTATGTTTCTGACTTTGTTGATCCAAGAAGCTTGAGTGCTTGACTCTAGTATATCCAATCTCAGCATTTTGCTCTGCATAAATGCATCATAGGAGGAGGATACAGTGAAGCTGCCTTTCTTGTTGTAATGCCAAGAGATTTTGTCTTGATGGCTTCTGTCAATGGTGCTGATTTGGAGAATGGCCTCGCTTGCTGCTTCTGTGAATGTACTTCTGATAAGTTGCTTATTCCAGGAGTTAGTTTGTGGCAAGAAAATTTCACAGACCCATATCAGGCAACTGAAAGTGGATGGATCCCTTTTGCAAGGTCTGTAGTTGGGCAGGCCTGGGACCCAAGGGTGGTCCCATATCCAGGTATCCTTGCCATCTTTGATAATCTTCAACAATCCCTGCTCAAAAAGAGGTTTAACATTCATCCAACTCCTCCAAAGCCAAGCCCACCCATATCAGACGGAGTTGTTAAGTGATTCGATTGTTTCCAATGTAACCCCTTAGCCTGGTTCCCTCCTTTAGACCACCAAAAGTTAGCAAAAAGGCTAGATATCTGAGAGCAAATAGAAGCTGGTAGGAGAAAGCAAGACATAACAAAGTTAGGGAGGGCACTAAGGACAGCCTTAATAAGGACTTCCTTGTCGGCTGAGGATAGGAATTTGCTTTTCCAGTTTAATATTCTGCTTCTCACTGAATCAACAAAAAATCTAAATGTATCCTACTTGGAGTGCCCAATGCCAAGTGGCAAGCCCAAATATCTGGAGGAAGAGTGAATCTGGATACCATTAAGGAGGCTACAAATATCTGTTTTACGAGTGGTGGGAGTGTTTTTACTAAAGAAGATAGAAGATTTAGCTAGGTTTATTCTCTGACCTGATCAAATTTGGTAATTATGAAGGATGTTCAGGATTTCAAAGGCTTGTTGAGGAGAGGCTTTGCAAAAGAGCAGGATGTCATCGGCAAAAAGAAGGTGGGAGATAGCAGGCCCAGTTCTGGATATTTTTAGACATGTAAGAGTACCCTGCTGGATAGAGGAGTTTAAAAGGCCAGAAAGCAGTTCAGAGACAATGATGAATACGTATGGTGAGATTGGGTCACCCTACCTCATCCCTTAGAAGGAGATACAAACCCACATTTTTGCCCATTAATGTTAATATAGAAACTGGTAGAAGAAATGCAAGACATGACCCAATTGATAAAGTGTCTGTGGAAGCCCATTTTAAGCATGAGAGATTTAATGCAATGCCATTCAATTCTGTCGAAGGCCTTTTCCATGTCAATTTTGATAGGAATAAAGTAATTAGAGCCTGACCTATGTCTGTTTAGATAGTGAATGGCTTTCTGAGCAATCACAACATTATCAAGAAGTTGTCTATTTTGAATGAAAGCAACCTGGTTTTCACTTATACAAACTTATACAAGCAGGGAGACAGGTTTTGAATCTGGAAGCCAAGATTTTTGCAATAATTTTGTGGGCAACACATCAAAGGCTAATGGGACGGTAGTGTTCAACTTTATGGGGGTTTTAAGATTTAGGCAAAAGTGTAATCATATTGTGATTCCAAGATTGGGACATAAAACCAGAATTAAAGAAACTGAATATAGCATTACAAAGATCATGTTTCACAATGTCCCAGTTTTTTTGAAAAAAATGGTGTCATACTGTCGTGGCCTGGGGCCTTGTTCGGATTCATGCTATCCAGAACTCTTTTAATCTTCTCTTCACTCATAGAGGACAATAGCCTGGAGTTCATCTCAGGAGTGATGGATGGTTGGATGCAATCAATGAGGGTGTCATCATCATTGCCGCCGGCAAAGTGCTTAGAAGTGAATAAATTTCTGTAGAATGTTGAGATACATGATTCAATTTCAGCCGGGGAAGAGAAGATGGAGTTGTCATCTCTATGCAGTCTGGTAGTGGCATTGGCTCTTCTTCTCTGAGTGGTGAAGGCATGGAAAAGCGTGTATTCTTGTCGCCTTCTTTAAGCCATTGAAGCCGCGATTTTTGGCTCCAGTAGGTTTCCTCTGCTTTATGCAAGAGGTCTATTTTCTGCTTAAGAGCATGCCATAGCCCTCAATCCCTGTTATCTCCCTGAGTTCTTAAGTCCTCCATCTGAGATGCTTCCTTCAGTGCTTTGTCATTTTCAGATTTGAAATTCCCGCACCATTTGAGAAGAGCTACCGTGGTGGCTGCTATTTTGCTTCCTAGATTTATCTTTGATGCCCTCTCTCAACATCCAGCATTTGTCAAAAGTGAATCTCCGCTTCTTTAAGGATGGGTTATTACCAGTGTCAAGAGTGATGAGGCTATGATAAGAGGAGCTGCGGAAAAAATTTGTGGCCGAGGAGTTTGGGTAAGCGGTTAACCATCCAAGAGAATTGTGGCCCGTGGTGGTTGGGGGACGCCGGTGGAGGATGGTGGTGTCGGGGGAGGGAGCAGCGGCGGACGGGATTCATGAGAAAACGATCGCGACGGGCCGGCCTCGTTTCGACGGTGGCTGAGGAAAGGTCGCCGGAATTCGCAGGGGTCACGGTGTGAGGATGGCAGGCGCGGCGGAGGAGAAGGGCTCGCCGGAGGAGATCGCCGGGAAAGAGGTGGTCGCGGCGAAGGGGGCATTGATTGGTTTTCCCGACGATAGGAGGTAGATGAAGATGGCGATGGGATTCCTTGCGTGAGAGAAAGATGGAGATGATGATGGCGAGAGATTTCTTCTCCTTCTCTGTTGCGCGATATCGAGGGTTGATAGAGGGAGGAGAGCTGCGGCAGATTAGTAACGAGAGAGAGATATTGGGCGAGATTAGGTTGAAGAAGATGGGCCCGACATTTGCTAGTGTCGACTCAAGAGATCTATATTGGGCCAAATTACAAAGTTTGGGCCGAGACTATACAATTTGGACTGAGAAAAAATAAAAACAATAGCTTAAAGGGCGCGGGTCGCAAGTGCGAGGCTTCACGGGCGCACGGGCCGGTTTCCTCTTGTTTTAGACTTCCGGTTCTTGAGACTCAGTTTAATTATTCCGATAATATAACAACGTTCGGAAAAATAAATTACGACGTCCGAAAAATAAAATAAAATATATATATTTATATTATTTAATAATATATATATATATATATATAACTAAACCGGCATCATATATATTCATTTAATACACACATTATTTAATTAATGATAATAATATGACATTAGGAAAATAATGACAATTAGACATTCAATAATAATAATATTAATAATAATAAAAAAATAAATAATAAATAATAATTCCAAATAATTCTTAAACAAACGGGGCATTACAGTCTACCCTCCTTAAACGATTTTCGTCCCCGGAAATCAAAGAAAGTCATCCCAACAGGACAACTGACACACGAGAGAAGCTCAAACCACTCAACTCGGATACTCCGTCCGAATCTTCCCACTCTACCAAGTCACACTGCACTAGCCATGGTTACCCCACCGGACTTTGACGAGTACCTCTTCCGGACTCTCCCTGCTGGATTCGTCAATCCAGTAGGTCACCGGTACCTCATCAAGGGTAAGGTTCTGCCCACATGCAGCTCGTCAAAGTTCGCCACGTGCCCAGAGTCACGCACATGTCCCCTCTCCACGAGGCATAGAACAGGTCGTGCACTCTCGCAAGCTCCGATGATGGGGTCAACCGTCAGGCTAAGTCGCCAACTCGGTCGAGAATCCAAAAGGACCAACAAATGTGGCCGATACTCCTTCTCTTCCCAGAATTTCAGGCGTACAACGCCTCTTTCCATACTCAGAACCTCGTACGGTACCATCAAGGTCGTCGCTTATTAGCCATCGCTATCAGCGCAGTTTCCCATGGTAAGAAATCTCACACGACATACCTATCGAGTACACCAGACTCCAGCCACTCTCTCAGGGTCTCGACAGCGTGTCCTAAATGCATAACTATCTTATTCTCTATGCGGTGCCAAGTTCAGTCTTGTGCTCTGGTCACGCTGACGACTTGCCCACGATTTCAATGTGAATCCGTGCGTCCGTATCAGACGGCTCGCTGCGGAATCCCATACAAATAGCTAACAAACATCAAAAACACCATCCTCAAAACTGATACTTTCAGAACACACGGTTCTGCTCGATATCGTTGACAAAGCCTCATTTTTTGCCGACACGAGTGACAGCTCGTATGCGGTTTAGGAAGTATCGACTAGATATTCGAGAACAACTACTATTGCAGAAACTGACTCTCAAATAGGAATGCTCGACGATCCCATTATAACGATCTGAAAGGACATAGCCAGTTCGGGGTCTAATGCACTGTCACCAGAGAGATGTCCCACACATTGGCGCTGCATAAGCGGGACGCTGGGACGTGTGTGTACATCTGTTCGGAGAACAGCTACAAGGTCAAGGTTTCGGCCACACACTGGCTTGGGGAGCTCCTGCGTTCGGTGATGGTGGCTGCAGCTCTCGTGCGAGTCAACGATCGGCCCTGCAGTGCCTCACGTCTCTCAGCACGGGCTCGCGTGCTCGACCACCACTTTGCGTGACTACACCCAGTCAGTGTCGGCGTTCAGTTCGAGGTACAGAAAACAATTACTCTAATCCAAGGCTCGCACTATCTGAGGTAACCCGGAAGGAAAGGTTTTCACAAAACCAACAAACAGTAGGGTTCAACAAAAACATTATCGCCCAGCATTTAGGTATCGACAAACTCGAATGGTTCAGGGCTTTCAAATCATCACATCATTCCCCAAACCATACAACTTCAAGCGGATAACGGATATTAGAAATATGGAGAAATTTCTTAAGGAAAACGAGTATCGGCATCCTCAGCTAGGAATCATTCCAACTCAGCTGTCATTGCCGAATAATGCAGATGATCAGCTCGCATGACTCTTCCGACTAACAGTGTCGGCCATCACGTCAGCTCTATCTCCGGTAGGTAATCGTGCCGGCAGTCCTAAACGAACTCAATTTCCACGCTGTTAAGATTTTCACATTTCTGGATCTCATCACGAAGCCTCCTTGGTTGAATCGTCTCGATCGCGTCTCGAATATAGGTCATCAACGATAAAAAAAAAAATACGACAGACCGATCCAGGTATGAATGGAACACCCACACCGAAGGCATCACAAATCGAAAGAATGATATAAGACAAGCGGAAAAAACGAAAGTACTTATCTTAATCAATACATAAGGTTGCAATTCTTGAAATGAAAACTCCAAACAAAACAAAAACAAGAGTTTTCAGAGGATTGGCAAAAGTCAAAGAAATACAAAGATCACTCTTGAAATTTCGAAGAGAAAAGAACGAGAGTTTCCAAAAATTTACAATGAATACACTTCAAAACGAAGACGGCTCGGCATCGGGCTCGACTACCCTCCTTAAAAGATTCTCTTATAACAAACATCCCCAGAAAGGTATCGAGGCTCCTCCCGATCAGGTATGCGACGATTCTCACGTACGCCACTTCGGTTCAAAGTTAAAATAGATCACGAA